AGATGGATCAGATGTTGATGCAGCTCATCCTCTCTCACACACTTCACAGGTGAGTCCTGTTGAGTCTCTTGTTAGAAGGTATGGTAATCTTTTCCTTTGCTCTCCATTTTTTTTTCCTTTTTTTTTATAATTATGTAATTTTTCTTCAAGCTCAAGCTTTTGTTCAAGTATGTGACTCTTTGCATCCCTTTTCTTTTCAGGTTTCTTTTGGACATGGTGAAAATAGGAATAGGAAATTTGGGAGACAGACAAGTGCTATGGCTTGCAGTGACCACAAAGTGTTTGTTGTGTGGCTGGAGAGTTTTGATGACTGCTACACTTTTCCAGCAAGTAAGTGAATATTGTCTTATTCATGACAGAAGCTTAAACATTTAATTTTTGATGGTAAGTAATTGGATTTGGGTTATATGTTTAGCTCCTTATCACTTTAAATGAAAAATAATTTTAATGACTATTTTCATAAAATAATTAACATGAAATTGTTAATCACTTTAGTTTAGGGCTGATGTTTTTCTGTAGTTCCATTAAACAGACGAAGTTCAAAGAAAACCACATAATCATTTATAATAATTGTTAAAGTCATCTAAGCAACCAACTCTCATAACAATTTATAGTGAAATTGTTCTTGGGAGTGTTCTGAAATTGTATTGTGTAGACAAACGTTAAGGGGACCGTCCCTGATGGAGGGGGGGAAGGGGTTTAAATTGAGTTAGTTAGCGTATAGTATAGGTACATGGATGAGGAAACTACCAAACGAGTATTAAGCGCCTGTTATGGCTCGTTATCTTGATGCCGGCGTGCGAGTCCCTCAGCACCTGGAGAGGTACGTCGCTAATGAGCGCCCAGGTACACCTATGTGGACTTTTGCTTGCGGCAATCGTGCATAAGGCATTTAATTATGACATTGCGCATAGATATGAGTTCATGAATGTTCAAGGAACACTTTTATACCAATATCATGAAAAAATTATATCACCGTGATTTATGACGAAATATTTTGTGAAATATATCTAAAAAAAAATGTAAGTTTTGTGTCCTTTTACACACGAAATATGCTTTGATCGAGACTCCCTGGTAATATGTTTTAGTTTACGAGGTAATATATACGTATATCACATACGAAGCACTAATGTTTAAAAATAGCCTTATAAGGAAGGATTGAAATATTTCCGTTACATTTCGCTCAACGGTCGGTACATCACAGCAGGGGGCAATTTGAATTGATTTGAAATTGGTAGTTACCTTTGTAAAGACCAATTCAATACGAATGTTACCTAAATGTCAGATTTTTAAACTTCGAATGTATAAGCGAGATACAGATTATTTCATGTTGAAGATGATAGTACTCAGTAATACCTGCTCTGGTAATAAAAACTATATGGAATTTTGAGCTCGGTTGTATGCTTAGTCTTCGTCTGGCGGTCAAAAAGCTATCGCATCCGTTTCGTGCGTTCCCGATAAAAATGAATATGTTTAGACGTTACCGTAAGTCTTAGGCACCATAAATTGGCAAATATCCCACAACACCTAGGCGTCTGCATGATTTTATGCACTTCTTAGTAAAGATAATGGGTGCAAATGGCTAATCATAAACTATACACTTGTTCTTTGCAATCTGTTAATATTGACAATTATCGAAGAAAATGGTATGAGAGGGATAACTAATATATTTTATTATTTAGATATGAAAGTCAATGTAGGCCTACTAAATAATGATGATTAATCTTTTTAACTTTATGTGCGTGCGTTCACGTACATATGATCCTCCTTGAAAATTATAAACACCCAGGGACCATCTCCCATGACTATAGGCTAAAGTTGACCTAACACAAGTATTTTTTGGGGAATATTCTGTAAAGAACTGTGATAGATGGGATGTACCGAAGACATACCAAAAAACCAATTTTTTCGACTTTTTTGGGGTGCCCCCCCCCAATGGGGGAGCAAAGTTAAAATTTATATATATAACGGAGCGCAATTCTTTACTCTATATCATGCAAAAAGAATCAATCAGTTATCTCTAACAGATATTTTTTTATGATGTAAAGAGTAGGGAAAGGTGGCCATTTTCCCGGACGGTCCCCTTAAGCATGCACAAACAAGCCTACATATATGTGTACACATTTATTCATTGTTGCTTTCTTTACATTAATGAAATTCATAATGAAATTGACCTTATGTTAATCAGTAAAATGATGCTAATAACAATAAAAAACTATTGTAACTTACAGCCAAAAAGGCTGTTGTAAAATATTGCTGGTATCAGTAATTCTATTATATTTTATACAGTATTTCATAACATTACATTCATCGAAGAATTGGTATGTGATAGAACTATATGTAAAATAGTGAAAGGTTTGGTAATAGGAACATACTGATTGTGCACTTCATGTCAGTGATTGTCGAGTATAAATCTTTGCTATAAGTGGTATGTTTTTTTTTTTTATATTCCTTCACATATGATTTTAAACCAAAGCACTGGCTAAATATTCATACATAGATACAGAATAAATTTCTTACGTAAGATGCTTTTCAGTGTTATGTTAAATATTTGTTATTTCTAACCTTCCAGATGAATTGCTTCCTGAAACAGTAACCGGCAGGGAGTCAAGCTCCTGGAAGGAAAAGGAAGCTGTCATATATATTATATTCATTCATGCTCTCACAAATGGACTCTTCAGGATTAAACTACAGGGTCAGAATGCTAAGTAAGTGTTTGTTAAATTATATTATTATATTGTTTATTTTGAGTGAATTCCTTTAAGCTGTTAATGATAGGATTGCACATTTTCGTTTCGTTCAGTTTTACTGTTTCACATTTGTATAAGTAGTGGCTCTGTAGTGGTAGCAGACCTACCAGATTTCACCTGTTGATATATATATATATATATATATATATATATATTATATATATATATATATATATATATATATATATATATATATAATATATAATATATATTATATATATATATATATATATATATATATATATAATATATATATATATATACATATATATATATATATATATATATATATATATATATATATATATATATATATATATATATATATATATATATATATATATATATATATATATATATACATATATATATATATATATATATATATATATATATATATATATATATATATATATATATATATATATATATATATATATATATATATATATATATATATATATATATATATATATATATATATATATATATATATATATATATATATATATATATATATATATATATATATATATATATATATATATATATATATATATATATATATATATATATATATATATATATATATATATATATATATATATATATATATATATATATATATATATATATATATATATATATATATATATATATATATATATATATATATATATATATATTTATATATATATATATATATATATATATATATATATATATATATATATATATATATATATATAATATATATATATATATATATATATATATATATATATATATATATATATATATATATATATATATATATATATATAATATATATATATATATATATATATATATATATATATATATATATATATATATATATATATATATATATATATATATATATCTATATATATATATATATATATATATATATATATATATATATATATATATATATATATATATATATATATATATATATATATATATATATATATATATATATATATATATATATATATATATATATATATATATATATATATATATATATATATATATATATATATATATATATAGTATATATATATATATAATATATATATATATATATATATATATATATGGGTAAAACAGGTGAAATCAAGTGACTAATCACTTGTAGATCTATATTTTTGGAAACAAAATTGCTAAAAAAATCTATTTGTTATTTTTCTTTTGTTATTATTGACATTGTTATCTAAATAGGGCTGTACGATGCCTTCAGTTTCCTTATGGTTGTGCAGTATTTTTTTTCTATTTGTAATCATTTTTATTTTTTTCCTAAGCATGAACAGGGAAGTTACTGTAGGTTTAGAGTTGGGAGCAGTTATTGTATTGCAGTCAGAGGCTGAGTTTGATTCAGAGTAGGGTTAATACCAACTCTGATGCCAAATAGATGCACATTGCATTGTGTTGAAATTTTCAGATTCACTAACTCGTTTGGACATGATTTAAGGAGCTTCAAGTCAAAATTTGTGGTACCTTAAAATGAAGTTGGAGTGGAGTTGGACTCAAAAGTTTTCTTTACAATTTTGCAGCCTAGTTCTGACAAAGCAGTATTTTTCTTAACAGATTGAGCATGGCTGGACCACTTGTGGATGGCCAGGTTGTGAGCAGGCGTGTTCTTGGGACTTTGGTGAGACAGACAGCTCTTAATATGTGCAGACGCAAACGGCTGGAGAGTGATAGGTAGGTGACAGTTTTCGTTAATTTAAACTTACCAGTTAAGTTGGGTAAGTGAATACATGTGTGTGCATATATATGTGTATTTGCTTTACATCATCCATCAGTGAATATTATAGTTAATTCTTAATTGAAGATATTCAACAGATTTCATTTATAAACTCATAATAGTTTATAGTAATAGATATAAAATTTATCATTTTACTACATCATCTTTGAAGTTTCTCTCTGACAGCTGTCTCTGACTAATTTGAGCTAATTTTCAACAGCTATCAACCTCCACATGTTCAGCGCAAGCTTCGCATCCAGGAGATGGTCCAGAAATACAGATATGAAATGAATGAGCCAGAGTTCTACACGCACCTCTTCACCAGTCCTCTTTGCTAAGATTAGAGCTCCAGAGATCTGCTTTGTGATAGGCAGGAGGATTTACTTGAAGTGCTTTTTTGTGATATAATGTTGAAACCGATTTATGCTCTTCCAGGGAATCAAAGATAAACTTGCACTTAATACCAAAGAATAGAATATACTGTTATTGTATTTAATTTGCTTGCATTATGTATGCAGGAGTTGATTATTTTTTAACTTTTAAACAGAGCTTAACAATGAATTGAGATGAGGTTGTGGTTTTGTGTTCTATGTTGAGAAACTGTCAGACATAGCTGTGACGTTGTAAATATTGTGGTTACCTTTATATACCCTATTGTCTCTTTTATGTTTTGTTAATTATTTATATTGTTACTTTTAGTTGATGTTATGCTTGACAAGCAGTATTAGATTTGTAGAAAATATTTAAATGTATTATTTTCAAAGAAATATCATCGTTCAAAGGAACTGAACATGAATTTTTGGCTAGAATTGAACCAACTCATAAGAATGTTAAGTTGAGGTGTAGATCTATTTCTCTTGATATTTGTTCCAAGAAATGCGGCTGCAGGGACGGGAGATGTTTTGCTCGCAATGGATAAATACTGAATTTTTTAGGTATGGAAACACTGCAGTTGTTTAAAATTAAATTTAGATTTTGTTTTGCAAGAAAAAAAAAGCAATTGGATCTGGAAGTGTATTTTCTGACTTTTACAAAATTTATTTAGAAATACATTAATTCTGAAATAGTAATTAATTTGTTTTAATACTTAAATATGTCAATTAACACTTAATCAAGGTGAATATTAATTTAATATTAATTGCATTGTTGACTTTATACTATATTTTTTACCTGTTAACATTTTCTCTCTTCAGATTACAAATTACATCAGTATATTGTCAATAATGTTCTATGTATAAAGATACAACATGATTTGTTCTTTTATTTTAACCAGATTTCTTCCCTTGTTAAATTTATAAATGAAAGTGAAAGAGAATGAGTAAGACGTTAAAAATGGAGTGAGTTAGGGAAGGATTAAGGAAAAAAGGGAGAATTAAAGAAGGGTGGAAGGAAGGAAGGAAAGAAGGAAGGAAGGAAGGAAGGAAGGAAGGAAGGAAGGAAGGAAAATGGAAGTGAGCAAGAACAAATGAAAGAAAGAAGAAAAGAAAGAAAGAAAATGAAAAGTAAGGAAGAAAGCTATAGATAAATAAATGAATGAATGAATTAGTAAATGAATAAATAAGAGGGAACTTTTAATAAATGAATAAATATAGAAATATAGACAAATTAAATTAGGAAAAAAAAATGATAAAGGAAATAAAAGGATTATAAGGATGGAAATAAAAATGATAAAGGAAATATAAGGATTATAAGGATAAAGCTATTACTGTTAAATATGCTTGAGCAAGATGTAAGTGTATTAGGCTATGCATCATGACATTCATTGATCTAGAGTGAAAATGAAATTTAAAAGTGGCTGGAGTTGCAAATCAGCCATAAGGGTTTTCACTGTTTAACACAAGTACAAAAAAATAATTTGACAAGAGTGAGCAAATATTACAGGTGATAATAAAAATGTAGTAAAATGCTTTGGAGACGGGGACTGAGGCCCAATGTGGGGGATCACCCCTGCCTTGGACCTCAGCCCTCACCTCAACTAATTTTGCATGGTCTTTACTTTTCCCCTTTCTTTTTCCTTTTCTTCATCCCCGTCTGTCCACATCCTAAAGTGTAAGAGTCGTGCTGAAGGGGTGAAAGGTTGGGTTTGTGTACAACCTTTCTCAAGGAAAGGGTGAGGTACCATAATATTGTCAAGATCCCTTTCTGTTAGTATGACTTCACTCTTGATATTTATCTTGGGGAAGGCACTCCCTGACCGACCATATCAAAAGTAGATACTAGAATTTAAAAATAATTGGGAGTAGTGTTTACTTGAAAATAAATATCGAGAAGTTGAGAAACTATGGAGATTAATAAACAGTCTTCAATTTAAAATTGACCTCTTGAAAAGGTGAATATGGAAATTACTGTAGAATTGCGTGAACGCCAAGGTTTTTAAATAAAATATTTTGATAAGAGATTGGCTTCACAGATAGCGAATAGAAGTAATTATGGAATCGTGTATTTTTAGATGCTAAGTGAGTGCACACTCAGAGGCAAAGGGAATCAGAATCCATTTTCAATGCAGATCACAGAATATCAAAGAGGGTGATGAGTTGAAGCTGCCTCACTTGAAATCATTAGTATACACAAGAAACCCAAAATATGCTTTGACGGCAGGATGGTCAGATAGTAGTTTAACGATTCCGAATTTTGAATGTGGTAGCTAGACCTGAACAAGTTGGTGATTACAGAGTTACTGAACGTATATTCTTACACAGGATGTATTTCTGCCTCTGTCAGAGTGAAGTGACCTTGGAGGCAAAATGGTGCTGCTTGAGGGCCTGCGGATGGGAATGATCATAGCTATAATTGTTAATGCATTGCACATGTTTATGTTATAAATAAAGAGTGGGAGGGAGAGAGAGGACACGAGAGTGAAGAGCACAAATAAAATATGTTAATAACTCATTTTGCTTTGGGGAAATATTTATTTGTATGTTTTTTCTTTTTAGTTTCGACAGGTAGGAAAATTTCATTTTCAGTTCGTATGCTTCTAGTGTATTTAGCAAAGTAGGGTATGCTAAAAACGTGATTATTTTTCTTGTGGAACAGACTGTAAATTATGCGTTTATTTTTACAGTATTTACACACACACACACACACACACACACACACACACACACACACACACACACACACACACACACACACACACACACACACACACACACATATGGACGTCAGTCAGGAAACAGAAAACCGGATGCCGTGTGTTGATATCCCGAAAGGTTTGACAAGGAGTCACTTGTTTAAGGCCGAAGCGCGCTGTTCTGTCTTGGCGAATCTCTCCTTGTTCCTTCGCTTGTCAGTGTGACCGTAAGTTCTGTAACGCATGTGGGTGATTTGGTGATATGAATGACTGTGCGACCAATCAACGAGAAGATGTGTGAAATTATATACATATTTTTTAACATGTTAAAAAGGTAAAGCGAAAGCGGTCCAAGTTGGGAATGTGATGCAATTCAGTGAATGTGTTTTTGGTTATTGTCAAGATATAGAAAACTGACACTGAGAAATATGGTCCGAAGTGGTTTATGATTGACGGTGAAGATGGCGCTGACCAGACTAAGCACGGGGATCCAGCAAGAGGATCACAATACCTTTAGATTATACAAAGCCCATCGGGGGCCGGCGCGATGCGTTATGCTCACCATCCTCAACTGGGGGTGCCAGAAGGCTCCAGAAGTAACGTACGAGGATTATCTGCTCCAGAATCTCGGCTTCTCCAGCAAGAAATACAAGACCATTTTCGACGGCGCACAGAGGGAGAAGCTCAAATGCCACAGCCGCGGCGACGAGTTCGATATCACCCTCTTGTACAAGCTCATCCAGAATACTTGCGCCGGCGTCGCGCCAGCCTCCGATAGCGTCTGGACGTCTGAAGACTTTTCACGCCTCGAGTTTCTTGTGAATTACATAAAAAATTCCCGTAACAACTTGGCCCACAACGACCACGAAATCAGCAACTCCGAGATAGTTAGAAGATTGGAGAAACTGAGAGACGTTCTGGTCACCACTCTAAAGGCTGGCAGGGACTTGTACTGTGTCCAGCAGTCGGAAGTGGACGCCCTGATCAAGCAGGTCAGCGACGCGATCACAGCTATCAGAGAGCATCCGTTTGCTCAGACGGACGTCCTCCAGTACCAAAACGATTTGCTCTTTGAGGACCTCAGGGAAATCATGTCAACCGACGGAGCAAAGGAAGTTGCAAAAATCTTCAGCAGGAATAATCTTCTAAACTTGAATCCAGTTTCCTTCATCAGCGGAGGCGACTGTCATCTGAAAGTCGACAGAGTGTTCATCGACATACAAATATATTCAGTCGAGTCCGGAGAGCGAAAAGCTATAGACTACAGAGACATATTGGTGTACAGTCATGAAACAAATAATTACCCAGATGACCATAGCATTAATTCTAGTCAACAGAGCATACAGGCAAAACGTGTAATACACCTTGTGGAAGGTGATCCAGGCTCCGGAAAGACTACTCTGTTGAAGTTCATAATGTCAGACTGGAAGAAACAGACAAATATAATTAAGGAATTGTCAGATTATCATCTCGTGTTATACTTCGAGTGCCTCAATCCTTACAAAGACTCTCTGGCCGATTTCCTGGTTTCTCAGATGCCCTTAACCTCGACTCGATTTCACAAGTCAGACCTGGTTCGGTGTTTGCTGGGCCTCAAAGTCCTCCTGCTGATCGACGGTTTAGACGAACTGAACAGCGCATCCAAACGATTTTTTAAAGAAATCATCCATGTAAAAAGAAATTCAGATATATCAGTGATTTGTACGACTCGATCAGAAAAGCTTAAAGAAATATCCGGAATGATTTCGAGTGATTTAACAATAAATTACTTCAAGTTGCTTGGCATCCCCAGCAACAAAAGAGGGAAATTCGTACAACAATACCACGAGGAGCTTAAGCGGCGAGGGATGAGTGCAGGGAATACGGACAGCATTGTACAATATGTTGAAAACGCTCCACAGCAATTGAATGATTTTTTCGTCTATCCACTGAACCTCGTACTGTTTACGTACCTATGGGCAACTAGACCCGAATCTGTCAACGCTGTCACGAGTGTAACGGTGCTGTACGCCGAAGTACATTCTCTGATAGTGGAGAAACTACACAGGCGGCTGCTAGATGACCCGGACATTGACTACATCCCGAGTGAAGAAATCAAAGGCAGATGCGAGCAATTTCTCGATGTCCTGTACCAATTCTCTTTCGCTACCTTGAGTTGTAATATGCTATATCTGGACCAAGAGCATGTGAATAGGCTGCTGGAGGTATGTAGCGAAACTGGGCTTGCTGCTAAGCATATGATGTCCTCTTTTCTGGTGGTTGAACTAACGTCGTCGGGGGAACAGTATGTGGAAAGGCACAGATTTCCTCATAAAGGCATACAAGAATTTTATGGAGCTCAACACATTCTGTCGATCATTAGCAACGAGAATTTGGCGAAGAACAGAGCACAAGTTTTGGAGGCTCTAGAGAAATGTCTTAGCAAATTTCACATTTCATCTTATGAAAAACAAGAAATCGCATCGTGGGCCTCGGAACTGAGTGAGCGGAAAAGAATAAGCACACTGCTTGGGAAAACTTGCCCGGTCAGGTTCCAGGAGAAAGGGAAGTACACCAACCTCCTGCAGCACCTAGTCGGCCTCTTGCGCTACCAGACTTCCTACTTGCTTCTCCATTATGCTGAGGAGATCGTTGGGCTCTTAAACGACTCCGGAGACTTATTTTTCGATCAATGGGCCGATCTTCTTAAGAAAACTGATTACGACGCTCTAGTGGCAAAGGAAGTGGCCAGATTCGTGTGTCAGATTTCATGGATAGTTCGCGACGACCAGGAACGGGCAGCGGCCACTCTCATCGCTCACAGGTGCCCGCGAGTGCTCTCCATTGAGCTCTTCAAGGAACCGAAGGACCTGCCCCACCTGGCCGATCTCCTGGGCTCCGCTTTCGCCCAAGGCTGCGAGATTCGCTTGCACCTGCACAGCCACTGGCGGGAGCCAAAGAGCGGGTCCTCGGATGGGATTCTGCGAGCATTACAACGGTCTTCGTTGAATGAGACACAAGAATGGGAATATTACCTTGAACACACCTGGAAGTGAGTCACTCGGATTTAACTCTGACTTTCTGTTTACAACAATGCTAGTAGGAGCAGTAATAAAGATTGTACTGATATTAGTATGCTAATTATGAATTTGGTTTTGATATTGATAATGACATTCATGGTGGTGATACTGATAATGATAAT